CAGCAAACGAGGCCTCCAGAGATTGGCTCCTCAGGAGTCTGACAGAAATCAGACCCTGGGAGGGCGTAACTCTGGTTGCCATCGACCCAGAGCAATTCAGACTCCAAAGGACCGTTGTTCGAATTCCAGGGAGGCTGCCTAACCAGGACATACTGAGTGTCCTGGAAAGGCAGAATCCCAACCTGTCCACCTCTCAGTGGAGAGTCTGGAACAGGAGGGAGGAGAAACGCGGTCTAACGTTGATAGTTGGGATGGACAGTAAGTCCATAGCAGCTATCGAGGAGGCTGGGGGCTCTTTGTTCTTCAGTGCCTCGCGGGCACAGGTGAGCTGGGGGTCCAAGGAGGACCGGGAAGAAGAGAAGCCAGAGGCGTCCGAAGAAATGGATGCCTCTGAGACAGCAGAGGACACTACTCTGACAGAGGACGGCCCAGGTCGTCCTCTGGTGGAGAGAAGTCCGGAAGAAGAGGGACGTGGCGAAAGCCATGCCCCTCCGGACGGGAAGAGCGACTAGGCCATCAAATGGCGACCCATAAGTCCTCTTCCCTGAGCTTCCTGCAGGCTAACTTACAGCATGGGAGAGCCTCCACGGCTCTCCTATGCAGGAGGTTAAGGGAGCTCAAAATAAATCTGGCACTCATTCAGGAACCTTGGGTACACCAAGACAGAGTGAGAGGAATGGGGCAAGCGGGAGGGACACTGTATTACAGCACTTCTAGCCCGAAGCCAAGAGCCTGCATATACGCGAAAGGTGTTAACGCGACTATGCTACCAGGATTCTGCTACAGAGACCTGGTAGCGATCAGAATCAAGGTTAACAGTACAACAGAGGGAAGCATGAGTGACATTATAGTATGCTCAGCCTACTTCCCTTACGAAATGGCAAACCCTCCTCCTGAGGTAGGGAGTCTTGTAAGGCACTGTGAGGAGATGGGACTGCCCTTGATGATTGGATGCGACGCGAACTCGCATCATACACTGTGGGGGAATCGCGACGTCAATCCGAGAGGCAGGGCATTTCTGGAATTTCTGAGCTCCAGTAATCTGGAGATCCTTAATAGAGGAACAGTGCCAACATATTTCACGCCTATAGCGCGGACAATCGTTGACCTGACGTTATGCTCAACAGAGCTAACAGGTAGGGTCAGTAACTGGCGTGTGTCGACGGAGGAAAGTCTGTCTGATCACCGTCATATATTGTTTTCAGTAACAGGCCATATCCAAGAGGAAAACCGATGGTTCAGAAACCCCAGAGCAACCAGATGGAACCTCTACCGAGAGGAGCTTGAAGGTAGACTCTGGAACATGCCATCACGATATGGCTCTGAAGCAGAAATAGAGACATTCGTAGGATGTCTCAATTCTGCCATAGTCGAAGCATACGAAGCCAGCTGTCCCCTGAAAAGGACAGACTGTCTAGGCAAAACACCATGGTGGAATTCAAAAATTGAACTCCATCGAAAGAAAGTCCGAAAGCTGTTGAATAAAGCCAAAAGAACAGAAAAACGGGCCCACTGGGAAGAGTACAAACTGGCCCAGAGGGAATTCAAAAAAGCGATCCGCGATGCTCGCAGGGACTCGTGGAGAGCGTACTGCCAAGGAATAAATACTGTTCCTGAGGCGGCAAGGCTCAACAAAGTTCTCTCCAAGGACCCGAGGGCTAAGCTGGGGACGGTGACCCTTCCCGATGGGAGCTACACCTCATCGGATGGAGGGACGCTACAGCATATGCTTTCCACGCACTTTCCAGGTTGCACCTTTCTGCAGCCTGATTCTGAGGCTGTCACCTCAGTCGAAGCTCGGATCGACTTCACGATAGCCTCAAAAATTGTAACATATGACAGAGTGAAATGGGCAATCGAATCCTTTTCACCCTTCAAATCACCAGGTGAGGATGGAATCTGTCCGGCCCTTTTACAACAGGGACTGGACATCCTCATTCTACATCTCCTGAAGATCTTCAGAAGCTGTCTGGCACACGGGTATGTCCCCAAGGCCTGGAGAACAGCTATAGTGATCTTCATACCGAAGCCTGGAAAAATTGATTTCACGCAGGCAAAATCGTTTCGGCCCATCAGTCTCACATCGTTTTTGTTAAAGGCGTTAGAAAAACTGGTAGATCGTCACATCAGAGAGGGGCCACTGAGCGAATCACCACTCAGTGACCTTCAATTTGCGTACCAAAGTGGTAGGGGTACTGACGCGGCTCTTCATCGACTCGTTCATAGAGTTGAGGGGGTGTTAGATCGTAAGGACTCTGCCCTTGGGATATTCATAGACATTGAGGGAGCATTTGACAATACATCATTTGACTCTATATGTCGTGCAGCGGAGGAGAGGGGTGTTAGTCCAATTTTGATAAAGTGGATACACGCACTCCTCTCGAGAAGGATAGTGAGAGCCACTCTTCAAAACAGCCTCGAGGAGGCCGTTGTATCAAGAGGCTGCCCGCAGGGAGGGGTGCTATCACCCCTTCTATGGTGCCTCGTCGTGGACGACCTCCTATCGAAGATACATAGCATGGGATACTATATCCAGGCTTACGCAGATGACATAGTCATCCTGATCGACAGTAGGGGGTTCACTCCCAGTCGGAGACAGGCACAACGGGCCCTGGACGGGGTGGACCGCTGGTGTCGTAGCACGGGACTAAGAGCTAACCCTGAAAAGGCGGAAGTAGTACTTTTCACCAGAAAACGCAAGGCAGGGGACCTCCCCGATATACGACTATCGGGCAAGTCCCTGCGGTATAAAGGCTCCACCAAATATCTAGGAGTCATTCTTGACTCTAGGCTCAATTGGAACGAGCATATTGAGAGGAAGGTCCAGAAGGCTACGGCAGCGTTCTGGGCGTGCAGAAGGACGTTTGGGGGAACGTGGGGGCTCAAGCCAAGTATCCTTCACTGGGTGTACACCGCTCTCATACGTCCAATGATAACATATGGGGCCATCGTATGGTGGCCGGGGACGCTGACAGGCAAGTCGAGGAGTCAGCTCGACAGAGTTCAACGACTGGCCAGCATATCCATAACAGGAGCAATGAGGACGGCGCCGACAAGGGCGTTGGAGACTCTGACCGGACTGCCGCCTCTGAACCTGTATATAGAACATGAGGCGATGAAGGCCGCCGTTCGCTTACAAAGCTGTAACCAGTGGAGGAGCGAAGGAACATACGGACATTCTCGCCTCTGGAAGCAAATTACAGACGACTACCCCTCACTCAGTATGAAAGGGGACAGCATAACACCGATCATTCGATTCAGGAAAATGCCCCAAGTCAAGATTCCTACTAGGATAGACTGGGAACAGAATGGGCACTGCATAATACCCACCAAGGGCATCATCTGGTATACAGATGGCTCCAGGATGGAAGAATGCGCAGGTGCTGGGGTCTATGGGCAGTCTCCAAGGGCAAATCACTGCTATACCCTTGGGAAACATGCCACGATTTTTCAGGCTGAAGTATTTGCAATACTTGCATGTGTTCGAGAGAATATCGAGAGGGGCTATCACAGCCAGCAAATCACTATATGCACTGACAGCCAGGCGGCGATCAAGGCGCTCACCTCGTATAGGGTGACCTCCGCCTTGGTGTCAGAGTGCATAGATAGCCTACAAAGGCTGTCAGCAACGAATAAGGTATGTCTTTTGTGGGTCCCTGGACACTCAGGGGTACCAGGTAACGAAATGGCCGATGGTCTGGCCAGAAAGGGGGCGAAAGGTTCAGTGATTGGCCCAGAGCCAATCTTAGGGGTCACTCGATCCTGGAGCAACTCCAAGATGAAGGAAATCCTGACGGAAAAGGTTCAGGACAGCTGGAGGAAGGCTCCTCGAATGAGGCAGTCCAAACTCCATATAGGAAACCCGTCACGAAGACAGACCAATGCCCTCTTGGCTTTGAACAGGAAGGAGCTGAAACTGGTGGTGGGCCTGCTGACAGGGCACTGCCACCTGAACAAACATCTCAGCATGATCGGGATTGTGGAGGATCCAGAATGCAGATGGTGCCTAGAGGATGAAGAGACTTCTACTCACATCCTCACTGAATGCCCGGCAATAGTGGCAGCAAGGGATATCCATTTTGGGAGCAGTATCCTGGACCCAGAGGATGTTAAAAAGATTTGGCCTAGGAAGTTGGTCTCTTTTGCTCGCGAGATCGGCCTTCTCCATGGCTGACTTGCGATCCCAGGAATGTGGGTGCACAATGGGCCCGAAAAGGGAGGCCTAAGTGCGTCAGGTCCCGGACCGCCCACACACATACATACATACATAGCCCTTGAAGTCTTGATATACTGCAAGTTAGAAACACCCGTATAATCGAATGCTGTTGGAACTAATTTCCAATACCATCGAGAAACAAGAGAGTTTTGTTATTTGTTTACCAACCTCTATCATAATGAAGTGAAGCTTTCCAATATTTTTTCTGAATGAGAATAAAACACGGTGCATATATTTAGTTAAGTTTCCAAACATAACCACCCAACGAACATGTAGAATAGCGAACCTTAATTTTTGTAAAAGGTGCGGATAGAAAATCAAAAAAATCTTGAAACTTCAACGCTGATGGAAAAGCAAACTATCTTGAAACTTTGGTGCTCTCTGTAGATCGGTAACGACGTGTTTGTGGACACAGTCATATTCATAGCAGAAAAAAGTATTATTTTGATCTGAGAAATTAGCTCTTGAAATCTTGATACTGAATGTTTGAAACTACCGTATAATCGAATGCTGTTGGAACTACTTTCCAATACCATCGAGAACGAAAGAGTTATATTATAAATGAGTTTACCTACCTCTATCATAATGGAGTGAAGTTTTCTCCTTTTTTCCAATATTTTTTCTATTCAATATGCGTCTTTCAAAACTTACGTACTTATCTTTTAAACACAGTCATTTGAGAGTTTCAGTCATATAATCTCAAGTGTCTACTAAAATTTGAAGACACTTTTAGCACTCCACGTCAGCTGATAAGAATTCACGGAAGTTTTTCCTTGTAACTCACCCACGCATTGAAGAAGAACTTCTCAAAGTCGTTGGCAACTTGTTTGGAAGCATCAGCATCACCAGCGGACCGAAGAAGTAACGTTAAACTGTTGAGTGTTTCTTCGCCAACATTACTAGTCCACGAGAAGAGCTGTGGAAAACATAATATTGAATATATTTGCGGGTTCTCACGACGGATAATTATCCAATTAAACTTCATTACGTTTGAGGTGTTACTTCAGCTATTTCCGCGCGTTGTTAGTGTTGGTTACTGGTGGAGTGTAATGCGAAACATATGTGAAATTATCTCATAAGAATTGAATAACAATTCATTGAATTCACTGAACACGCGTGATTCGATTGATATTTTGATTCGAAGAAACTACTGAATAGAGAGTCATAATAATCATTTCATCATGACAATATCCGAAATAAGCACAAATAATTTTACTATGCGTTGCAAAGGAGATACGCTAATTTTTCTTATATTCAAAATGGAGAACAACAAGTGGATAAAAATTTGCTATTAAAAGCGATCTCCACAAGGGGTGTCAGTATTGAGACCTATAAATATGTCATTTCGTCTTTAAATAAATGATATAACATATGTGCGAATTTCAATAAGCGGCTGATTATTGTAATAGATGCCGGTGATTGTCATGATGGACATGTCGGCCAATTACTGGTTGTGACAAGCCGTTTGTACTATATTGGACTAGCTCTGATCTTTTAGTAGATATTCTGCCGGTAATGGCCCCAAAGCGTCAGTATACAGGGTGAGTCATGAGGAACTGTACGTACTCCTACTACGAATAGAGGCCCTTGAAGGAAATGTCTAATAACCATCAGAAAGTGTCTTCTTCTTTTCTTTACCAATATATATAGGGTGAATTATGAGATTTGGCAAAAACTTCCCAACAGCTTCTACGATTCGTCTGATTTTTTCATGGAATATTCCTCTGCTAAACCCCTATCGACTGACATTCCCAGAATCGAAAAAGTCCAGGACCGTTTTGGAAAAATATCGATAGTTCAGTTTTTATCAAAAAGTTCATCCTGTATATGGTTTTTGTAAACTGTGACAGGGGATTTTCAAACCAATAAACATGCATCACTCTACACACTTCCACAGAATTTTTCAAAAAACGATAAATTTTTAGCAAATACAAAACGAAACTTTGACAACAAATTTATTCATTAGGAAATAATTACTTCGCAACGCATAAATTTCACAAATGAAAGTTAGACTCACATTTTCAATCCTTTAGCCCAATTGAAATCAACATGTTCTTTCATTTCCACGCTTGGATTTTGTCATTAAATTTTTTGTGGAGGGTAATAATCAACCTGTAGTTCTTTTTCGAATCAATGAATGGGGTATCTGTTTAGATGTTAATGGTCATCGATTCAAATAATTCAAGATATTCGAACAGAAGATGAAGGTTTATTCACAATTATTTTTCAAAAGCTATACTCAAAAACGAAGAGTCGCATTTCGTATTTCTTGATATCACATTGTTGGTCTTTTGATTGCACACTATTTCTCCCATCCAACCAAAACCGTATCTCTTATAGTTTGGAATATCCCCATACTAGCCCTCATTATCTTGGACACTCTCAGAATCAACTATCATGTTCCGCAAGCTATCCGTAGCAATATCCGTTATGTATCTTCTCATGTATCATCGAATATGTAGTTGCGCTGCTAGTGCTATGTATCAGACAGATGTGTGTTTACTGAGACACTGTATTTCTTTCATTTTCATCTAACTTTCCTGAGTGAACGAGCTGAATTAATAACTATTCCTGTATAGTGTTCGATACAAGAACATAGCTAGGTCATTTATATGTACCTGTCAGTCCTCGGAATGAAAGCAATATTTTCGTACCATCCAACTAAAAGAGCTTATCTCAAATTGAGTTTTCATTATTTTATGTAATTGAAGAGAGTAATATAATGGTCCACGTTTTGACCTGCACGATTACCGGTATCTACACGAAAATTGTTATAAACAATTTCTCGATTCCTTGGTATATGATTCAGGAACACTTACGCTTTAACAAAGCAATTAATATCAGCCGATCTTTATTAATAATTGTGCCTGTCGACAAAATAATTACTATAATAAGTCATCCGTAGATCGAAAATGATATGTGGAAGTTTTCAGGAAAGTCAACAGTTCTTCCTAATAAAGCTAATTAAGTTAAAAGGAATCGAATAGAAAATAACGAAATTTCATCAATTTCATCAAGTCAATGCCTTCTCCTACCTACATTGTGAAAATAAATTTCTAGAGAAATAATATACAGAGTAACACCCGAGGGGCAAACAAATCTTTAAATATGGTGTACACTCTCAATTTTAATAATTTGAATATTTTGAATTATTTAAAATATCAAATTATTAATTTTTCATTCTCTTCAATGAATTTCCATTATCTTAATTACCGTTTGAATATTTTCAATGCTCTGAATACTTTTTGAATCCTTCTTGAATATTTCAAATCCTCCATAAATATTATAAATATATCAAGAATGCTTGTTGACATTTTTTGCAATTGGTCAGGTCGTTGACTTCTCGGCGGCTGGTGATCACCAGAGTGAAGGAATGCGAATTTTGAAGATAGAATCATTATCTCTGACCCCTGAATTTCTGAAGTTTGACCTTGATCGATATATCTGGCTCCACGGGAAAATATTCAGGTGGTCCAAAATACTAATTTTTTTCATTTTTGAAAGACCGCTGAAGCTCCCCGCGAGGCTTCCCGGAACATACCGGGTGGCTACGGAAGTATTGCCTACGGAATATCTCAGTTATTGTATGAAGTAGGTTCGTGAAATTTGGATCGTCGATATAATGACATAAGAGCTAGAATTTGAGCATATTGACATGTCGAAGTTAACTTCCGGTCCGACCGGAAGTAACATCAACTTTCCTATTTTGAATGGAAACCCTATTTCTTCATCTTTTCGCTTTATTCAGCATTCAATTCCCTTTCTAATGACATACCATAAGTTGCTACTAACCAGAAACTAGATCAGAAAAAAATTATTATTGAATTTCACCGATAATCTGTTTTGTTATTTGAAGAATAATAATTGGATTTTTTGGTATTTCATTTCAAAAAATTACTTTATATTATGTCATTAGAAAGGAATGGTTATGCTGAATAGTACAGGCAAGAAAAAGTTGTATGTTCCTATTTAAGTTATGGACCTACAGAGTATTGTTTTTTTCCCAATTTTTCCAATATTTTTTTTGGATGCTTTTTATAACGCCGACGAATGAAAATAAAATATCACAGTAGTAGCAACTGTTATCAAGTGACGTATGGTTTCCATAACCAACTTTTCAATTTTTGGCTTTCATTTTGCTTCCACGGCCTACTCGGTGAATTTCAATAATTCTAGTTCTAGTATCTGTTTAGATACCAACTTGTGATATGTCATTAGAAAGGGAATTGAATGCTGAATAAAGCGAAAAGATGATAAAATAGGGTTTCCATTCAAAATAAGAAAGTTGATGTTACTTCCGGTCAGACCGGAAGTTAACTTCGACATGTCAATATGCTCAAATTCTAGCTCTTATGTCATTATATAGACGCTCCAAATTTCACAAACCTACTGCATACAATAACCGAGATATTCCGTAGGCAATACTTCCGTAGCCACCCGGTATATCCATTCAACTTAACAAGGTCAATTAAGCGTATAGAATAAATAAGAAGTTTAAAACTATGAAAAAATCATGAAATTCTATTTAATCATTAATTTTTATTATTTTATCACAGATATTTCGCCAAAATCAGAAGACAGCGAACATGGATTCAATCAATGATATGCCTTTTGTATTTTTGACAAAAAAATTCATAGTTAGATATGTTTACTCATGAAACTGACAGATTTCCATATTCCTTTCGATTTTTGGGGTGAAAATGGGGTAAAATGATGTGACGAAATGAGGGCAGCGCTTGCTTTCAATCTATAGTATGCCTTGACAAAAAAATGCATAGGAAGATATTTTTTCCCAAAATACCTATTAATTATTTCAAATACTCTCGAAAAGCTTTGGAATACCTCCATTTGTCACGAATACAAAATATCTTGAATATGGTGTAAACTCTTATGGGAGTTGTTTGCAACTCGGTGACACCATTAAAAAAAATTTTGCAGTCATGATATGATTCGACCCCTTTTTTCAGCTCATCCAGAGGTATAGTCGATCATGGAAGATATATGAAACTAGGAGATTCACGGAGAACGAAGCGGTGTTGCCACAGTTCATAAAAATGGTGAGAGAGCAAATGAAATGAAATCAAAGCTATGAAACGACTAATGGAAAGATTTGGATGGATCATATCACAAATATTCAGAAGGGAATACCTCGAAAATTTTCGAAAATCTATGACGAGGTGTTTGGGATGATACAAAATGGAATTAAAAGTCATCGTTAGACATAAAATTGCCAAAATTGGAGTAACAATTTGGGAATCTGGAGTCTTTCCTTCATTTGCATACCTTGACACTGAATACTCCATTGTTAATTTTGAATATCAGTATCATCAATATACCTTGTGGACGATATAGACCCCAGAGTCACTAGGATATTAATAGCCTTGAGGTAGCGTGATCAATTTCTTTTAAATTCTTCGTTCAGTTTCACAGATGACATTCCTCATTTGTTTGAATTGAATATTTTGAGATGGAATGGGGTTACTTTTGGGACCTCAGAGTAACTCGGGACGCAACTTCAGATGTTCTAATTTCACTAGCGGCAACAACGCAATTATAAACATTACCTCTTTTTATATTTTGGTTAGTTGCAGAGCAACCTGTTGATGATTAATTCAACAAATCCTCTATAAATTAATGATATTTCAAAAATATACAAAAAATAGTGGTGGTGAGAAGCGATTCAAAAATAAGTTATCAAAAACTGTATCCGAAAGAGGGAGTCAAAAGATGAAAAGGTAAGTCCAATTTTTTGTATGTTTTATAAATACTGCCATTGTCGTTGGGCGTATCCAGAATATTTGCAAAATTTCAAAATATTTTTTTGAAGAAAGTCATGATTGTGGGTAACTTGAGACACCCATTGTTCAGTTCTTATTGGTCTTTACGATTAAAATCGTTAAAACATGGTATATGTAC